AGTGGCGTGCGGTCATGCGTGCGGTCAAGCGCCGCTTGCCTAAGCATTTTACCGAACAAAAATTTTTTGGATCAATCTCTGAGCAAAATCAGTTTAAATTTTTCTGTTCTAAACAATGTCAATGTAATCTTTTGTCTAAATTGTCTTTACAGTTGAAATGCTTGCTATTTATACGCGATTTACTGTCGTGGTTTTCGGTTTCACTTTGCTACACTTGTAAGATGAGTCAAGTGTATTAAATTAAGTGGATTAAATTAATTATTTATTAACCAAGGCAAGCGCGCTTGCCTTCGGAGCTCAATTTGAACATTTGCGCATGCGTTAATCTAGATTTGGAGGCTTCTTATTCGAGGAATATCGAGAAAGGCAAGCGGCGCTTCTAAGGGCGCCGCTTGATAGCGATTGGTCAACAGTCTTGTACGCTCGCAATTTTAAACATATCAGCGCACGAATAATATTCGTATATTCAACACATTGGACATCCGAATTATTCACGCCGTTAATGTTATCGTTTATTAAAAGATGACTGAGAGCGAAAGGTAATGTTCTGATTTCTAATTCAAAGTAGTAGTAGATTTCTAATTTATGTATGTAGAAGATATTATCTGTAGCATGTTTTACTTTAGCGTTATATAAGTCTTGCGTATGAGCTCTGAACGTGATTTCAATGTACTAGAACGCTATTAAATTTTGTGATTATTTTATTCACTAGCAAAGAAGTTATTTACAACAGTCGTGAGTATTCTATATGTTAGAATTTATTTACAGGCTTTTTATATATTTTGATAAACAAGGTGCAGTTATTACACAGCGGATAATGTACTTGAAATTTGAGTAGTTTTACGTAATTATAAAGTTAAGTGCGTAAGTTTAAGTAGCGCGTTTGAGTAAGTGCAGGATTGGCTATTTCCTCTATTGCTAATACATGAATCTAGATGAGTAATGTACGCACGTTATGTACGTCACTACAAGATATCATGTAACTGATGTAAGGTATAAATAAGATTGATCTTCCTATAAAATATATAGCATAGGAATTTTCATCCTTTTATGTTCTACTTCTACAATTCGGTATTTTCACGGCACCTGTACAACATGACTGAATGCATTGTGGAATCACTGTTATCCCGCTCATTTGGATTGAGACCTTTTTCCGAGAAACGAGAGATCGTCGAAGGTGGCCGTCCCACTCCTGAGTTGCAAGGACTACATACAACATGCAAGCGAAGTGGTAAAGTCTTTATTCGAAGTTTTCAGACGTCAAATTACGACAAGTACAAATGGCTGGCTCCTCAAAATTGAATAAGTTATTTTGCTGGCCGTGTCTTTTGTTCAACTCAACAGACAAGACAGTCTGGTGCAAGAAGGGATACGATGATTTGGCCAACCTGTGTAATGCCGTCAACAGACACGAGAAAACGAAGACACACTTGTCCAGTTGCCTAATGAATGCCAGTTTTGGGCGTACACGCATCGACATGCAGCTAGACGAACAGGCCCGTCAACACATCTCAGCTCACAACTTGATGGTGCACAAGAATAGAGAAGTACTTCGCCGTTTCATTGATGTTGTTTGCTTTCTTGGCAAACAGGAACTTTCTTTCAGAGGTCGGGTGGAGCTGGAGGAGTCTGCCAACAGGGGCAATTACGTCGAATTGATAAAACTGCTAAGTGCATATGACCCCACGCTTGAACAGCATCTTCATACAGCAACCGTGTTTTCTGGACTTTCTAATCGTATCCAGAACGATTTGATTGTTGCTGTCAAGGACGTTATGTTGAAAGCAATAAAAGATGAAGTGATGAGGAGCCCATTTGTCGCTATTTCCCTGGATGAAACCTCCGACGTTAAGACCTTATCGCAGCTAACAACTATAGTTCGCTATGTCAACCCAGATGGTAAAGCTGTGGAGCGCTTTCTTGGATTTACCGATTTAAGTGAGGATAGAACTGCGGCTAGACTGAAACAAGAAGTCGGTAAAACCCTGAACGAGTACGGATGCGGCGAAAAACTGATTGCCCAAACGTATGACGGTGCGAGTGTGATGTCAGGAGAACTGTCCGGTTTGCAAACACGAGTAAGAGAAGACTATCCACATGCTCTTTTTATCCACTGTTGCGGACACGCATTAAATTTGGTCCTTGTTCAAGCTGTCTCGTCAACTAAAGAGTGTCGTATATTTTTTAAAACCGTCACTGGTCTTTCATCCTTTTTTTCACGCCTCGTCCAAGAGAACATACCTGTTGGACACAGTTGTCGGCAGACGCATTCCCACTGGAACAGCTGTTCGATGGCACTATCAGAGCAGGTTAATCCATGCTGTACTGGAGACAAGAGCAAAGCTGCTCGAAGTTTTCGAATACATCATCGAAAATGATGACGAGTTTGACGGTACGACGTTAAACGAAGCGAGGGGCTACCGACAAGCTCTTGCAGATTTCCAGTTTGTGTTCTGCCTTAAAATATTTTCAGAAATATTTGGTCTTACGGATGTTTTGTATAATATCATTCAGAGTAAGCAGTTCGATATTGTCTTCTGTGTCACGAAAGTTCGCGAGACGAAAGATAAGATTCAAGAACAACGAACAAAATTCGTAGATTATTGGAATTTTACGTCAAGTATCGTCAAAGTAGCACTGAAACGCGGGCAAAGTGAAGAGGATGTAAAGGCGTCCTTCCGTCAAATGTTTTTCTGTGTAGTCGATACCATTGTCGTGCAGATTGACTCTAGATTCGAAAGTCTTAACAGCAGAGCATTCCTTTCTTTGTTGGATCATTCAAAGCACGAATTGTAAAGCCGGAATTTTCCCGAACGAGAGCTGCAATCGTTGCAAGATTCATATGGAACATTCTTTAATCTTCAAGCACTAAAAAGTGAACTAATCGTTGTATACACATCTGCCGAGCTCAAATCGAAACCTGTTTTTGATATGATATCAAAAATAATCGAACTTGACTTGAAAGCCTGTTTTCCAGAGGTGTACCGATTGTGTCAGCTCATTCTTACTATGCCAAGTACGTCCTCCTCTGCAGAAAGATCATTTTCGGCTCTCAAGCGTATCAAAACGTATCTTCGCAGTACACAAGGGCAAGAGCGACTTTCTGCATTGGCTACAATTTCAATCGAGAAGGAGATGTTGGTAAGTTTGCAGGGGAAGCCACGATTCTATGAGGACGTTATAAAGGAGTTTTGCGCAAAGGAAAGACGGATGGAATTTACATTTAAGTAAATCTGTTGTAGGATTTTGGACTATTTCGTTCTGTTACTTCTTCACTACAATAGAAATGCACGCGTAGCCATTTACTTAAAACGACTTTATATCACAATACCACATGTAATACTTTTAAACCGTAATTGTGATATATACTCTATAAAAGTTTTTGAATTTTTTAGATTTTTTCAATACTGTTTCAGTCATGACAGATACATTTTTTCGACAAAGTACTCCCAGAAATCGCGGGAAATGCGCTCCAGTAGCCTTCAAAATCCAAAAATTTTCTGGGGGAGCATGCCCCCAGAACCCCTAGATAGCTTCGCGGCATGCTGCGAACCTCACCCCCAGCGCTTGCCTATTAAATTCGGTCACCGCACGCCACTGATAGATAACCTTTAGAAATTGTAATTCTGTTATTGTAGACCAATTAAACAAAGTTACCAATCAAAACAACAACAATTTGCTTACCAAAGACAAATCACTGTCATTTGAAGCAAGGTATGTTTATCTTTATAAAATATGTGTGTTATTTCTATTACTTTGTCACGATATTAAATAACATTTATGAATCACTAGTATGGAAATTTTCATCATTAAATTGCATCATAGAAACCATGATTTATGCTACAAAACCTTTGTCTGACATCATTGAGAAATGGCAAACTTGTGATTGAAATATGGACAACTTCATGTAAAGTTTAAGGTACCATACACTTGCCTTTCATATCTGTGCATGCGAACAAAAAAAAAATTTTGTCTGACAAAGAAAACATTTTTGATCATTTTATTTTGATACATTTACTCAAATGTACATCTCATCACAATCATTACTAACTCATAACCTTCTCCCCTTGACCTAAATATGTACACTAAGGCAGATATGAAGAATTTAATACAGAATATTGTGAAGTTAACAACATGAAAAACAAAATGGAATAGAGCATGTATATGTGACATCATTCATGTCATGTGTTCAAAGTTAAATGTTACAACTGGATAATACATGCTTCATTACACATACTTCAGTAGTTTTTCTATCTACACATGCTTCAGTAGTTTTTCTATCTACACATGCTTCAGTAGTTTTTCTATCTACACATGCTTTAGTAATTTTTCCATCTACACATGCTTCAGCAGTTTTTCTATCTACACATGCTTCAGTAGTTTTTCTATCTACACATGCTTCAGTAGTTTTTCTATCTACACATGCTTCAGTAGTTTTTCTATCTACACATGCTTCAGTAGTTTTCTATCTGCACATGCTTCAGTAGTTTTTCTATCTACACATGCTTCAGTAGTTTTTCTATCTAAACATGCTTCAGTAGCTTTTCTATCTACACATGCTTCAGTAGTTTTTCTATCTACACATGCTTCAGTAGCTTTTCTATCTACACATGCTTTAGTAATTTTTCTATCTACACATATTTCAGTAGTTTTTCTATCTACACATGCTTCAGTAGTTTTTCTATCTACACATGCTTTAGTAATTTTTCTATCTACACATATTTCAGTAGTTTTTCTATCTACACATGCTTCAGTAGTTTTTCTATCTACACATGCTTCAGTAGTTTTTCTATCTACACATGCTTCAGTAGTTTTTCTACACATGCTTCAGTTTTTCTATCTACACATGCTTCAGTAGTTTTCTATCTACACATGCTTCAGAAGTTTTCTATCTACACATGCTTCAGTAGTTTTTCCATCTACACATGCTTCAGTAGTTTTTCTATCTACACATGCTTCAGTAGTTTTTCTATCTACACATGCTTCAGTAGTTGATCTATCTACACATGCTTAAGTAGTTTTTCTATCTACACATGCTTCAATAGTTTTTTTATCTATACATGCTTCAGTAGTTTTTATTCTACACATGCTTCAGTAGTTTTTCTATCTACACATGCTTAGTAGTTTTTCTATCTACACATGCTTCAATAGTTTTTATCTATACATGCTTCAGTAGTTTTTCTATCTACACATGCTTCAGTAGTTTTTCTATCTACACATGCTTCAGCAGTTTTTCTATCTACACATGCTTCAGTAGTTGATCTATCTACACATGCTTAAGTAGTTTTTCTATCTACACATGCTTCAATAGTTTTTTTATCTATACATGCTTCAGTAGTTTTTATTCTACACATGCTTCAGTAGTTTTTCTATCTACATGCTTAGTAGTTTTCTATCTACACATGCTTCAATAGTTTTTTATCTATTCATGCTTCAGTAGTTTTCTATCTACACATGCTTCAGTAGATTTTCTATCTACACATGCTTCAGTAGCTTTTCTATCTACACATGCTTCAGAAGTTTTTCTATCTACGCATGCTTCATTAGTTTTTCCATCTACACATGCTTCAGCAGTTTTTCTATCTACACATGCTTCAGCAGTTTTTCTATCTACACATGCTTCAGTAGTTGATCTATCTACACATGCTTAAGTAGTTTTTCTATCTACACATGCTTCAATAGTTTTTATCTATACATGCTTCAGTAGTTTTTATTCTACGCATGCTTCAGTAGTTTTTCTATCTACACATGCTTAAGTAGTTTTTCTATCTACACATGCTTCAATAGTTTTTATCTATACATGCTTCAGTAGTTTTCATCACACATGCTTCAGTAGTTTTTCTATCTACACATGCTTCAGCAGTTTTTCTATCTACACATGCTTCAGTAGTTGATCTATCTACACATGCTTAAGTAGTTTTTCTATCTACACATGCTTCAATAGTTTTTTTATCTATACATGCTTCAGTAGTTTTTATTACATGCTTCAGTAGTTTTTCTATCTACACATGCTTAGTAGTTTTTCTATCACACATGCTTCAATAGTTTTTTATCTATACATGCTTCAGTAGTTTTCATCACACATGCTTCAGTAGTTTTTCTATCTACACATGCTTCAGTAGTTTTCTATCTACACATGCTTCAGTAGCTTTTCTATCTACACATGCTTCAGAAGTTTTTCTATCTACGCATGCTTCAGTAGTTTTTCCATCTACACATGCTTCAGCAGTTTTTCTATCTACACATGCTTCAGCAGTTTTTCTATCTACACATGCTTCAGTAGTTGATCTATCACATGCTTAAGTAGTTTTTCTATCTACACATGCTTCAATAGTTTTTATCTATACATGCTTCAGTAGTTTTATTCTACGCATGCTTCAGTAGTTTTCTATCTACACATGCTTAGTAGTTTTTCTATCTACACATGCTTCAATAGTTTTTTTATCTATACATGCTTCAGTAGTTTTTCTATCTACACATGCTTCAGTAGTTTTTCTATCTACACATGCTTCAGTAGTTTTTCTATCTACACATGCTTCAGTAGTTGATCTATCTACACATGCTTAAGTAGTTTTTCTATCTACACATGCTTCAATAGTTTTTATCTATACATGCTTCAGTAGTTTTTATTCTACGCATGCTTCAGTAGTTTTTCTATCTACACATGCTTAAGTAGTTTTTCTATCTACACATGCTTCAATAGTTTTTTTATCTATTCATGCTTCAGTAGTTTTTCTATCTACACATGCTTCAGTAGCTTTTCTATCTACACATGCTTCAGTAGCTTTTCTATCTACACATGCTTCAGAAGTTTTTCTATCTACGCATGCTTCATTAGTTTTTCCATCTACACATGCTTCAGCAGTTTTTCTATTCTACATGCTTCAGCAGTTTTTCTATCACACATGCTTCAGTAGTTGATCTATCTACACATGCTTAAGTAGTTTTCTATCTACACATGCTTCAATAGTTTTTATCTATACATGCTTCAGTAGTTTTTATTCTACGCATGCTTCAGTAGTTTTCATCTACACATGCTTAGTAGTTTTTCTATCTACACATGCTTCAATAGTTTTTTATCTATACATGCTTCAGTAGTTTTTCTATCTACACATGCTTCAGTAGTTTTTCTATCTACACATGCTTCAGCAGTTTTTCTATCTACACATGCTTCAGTAGTTGATCTATCTACACATGCTTAAGTAGTTTTTCTATCTACACATGCTTCAATAGTTTTTTTATCTATACATGCTTCAGTAGTTTTTTATTCTACGCATGCTTCAGTAGTTTTTCTATCTACACATGCTTAAGTAGTTTTTCTATCTACACATGCTTCAATAGTTTTTTTATCTATACATGCTTCAGTAGTTTTTCTATCTACACATGCTTCAGTAGTTTTTCTATCTACACATGCTTTAGTAGTTGATCTATCTACACATGCTTCAGTACATCATCCTTTATACTGAGCATTCCTTCCATCATATCTATCTTTAGAAATTTAGAAATGTTGTCCACTCTTTAGGTTGCAAACTTCTGATTCCATAGTTCTAAATTTTGACTTTCTTTTGCAGCCTACACCTTGTCTGTTTGAGTGACCTTGACTATATATAGTTTTCAATACACCTCACCAACTCGCAACAATTTTGAAATCTTGGATAATCTTGTCAGTATTCACTTTTTTGAAACTCAACAGTTGCTCCAAATTAACTCCTAGCTTGAACAGAAGGCAAATTTCTCTTTAGTTCGTAAAAAGAGCACTTTTTTTTTATTCCTATACGTTGATGTAACTTATGATGAGACGCGTCTTCTGGTAGGATTTCATCTGATCCATTTGCATTATCAAAAAAATGTACGTCCATCCTTTTTTTGAAGCAATTCTAAACACTCGCTTCACCTGATGAGACGCGTCTTCTGGTAGGATTTCATCTGATCCATCCACATAATCAAACAAATTAATGCTTTTCAGAAACAAACGCATATTAAGTACCCAATTTCTATTACTTTTCATTTTTATTTTCGGTATTTAACATGAAAGATCCGTCAACAAGGCCATACTTAATCTTAAGATAATTTAACGACTTATTTTAAAAATATATACTCTTCAATATACATATAACAACGCGCTCCACACAAGCATTCAAGTCTTCTAGTCCGTGACCTGTTAAAATAATAAGACGTATCTTTCATGTGTGACGTCATTTAAGTCACGTGCAAAGTTTTATCTCATTTTTCGCACAACCTGTACGAAGTGCTGGTTCACTGCTCTCGAGACTTCACTCGAACGATGGGACAGTATTTTGACAATTGTATTTAACACTTGATAGGATATTTACAGTGGTTTGTGCACGATTTGTGTTACGGAGTTCCAAACGTTGGTTCTTTGCGACACAATAATGTTATTGAAACGTTGAGATTACGGCCAACCGTTAATCTTAAACTTGAAACTTATTCAAACGCTATCGCCTCTTGCGATACAACTTCTAACTTATCACTTTGTACGTCTAACAACGTCTGTTTTTCCGAATGCCGAACCAACGCTTGCAAGCTCTTATTTATGTTATAATTATTAGAACATGATTTTTGGGCATTTGCATGACTTGCAACTACGCCATTCCGTTTATAGAGTACCGTCGTTACCTACATCCTACCGCAATGCCACATTGGGTAGAAAAAGTGTTCGTAAGTATTTTGAATTTACGTACAGGATTTCCACTGAAACCACAGTTTAATAACTATATACGTATTTTCCTATTTCTCTAGTAATATATCACTAACATTTTACAATTTATCATACGGTATATTCACACACTACACAACATAACATGACAATTTACAACATCATTAAATAAAAAGAAACGGGCAATCCCTGATTTCCCATCAATCTTACCTTAAATAACTTCGTTAAATCCATACCTATCGTTTTCAACATATTGTACGTTTAAAAAGCAATTTATGTTTTTACGTTCCTGGAAACTGTCCAACCAATAATGCATATATTTACATAACCAATGTTTGTCTAAGTTTTGATTTAGATAAAACTGAAAGTAGGGTCAGTAAAAAACTGCTGTCCGTTCACAATAGCACACAACCAACCTTTCCACTCTTACCAAGACGGCTAGAAGCTCCTGTATCTTGTTTTTTCTCTGAGTAGCATATCATAAGGATAGCTTACAGCTTACTATCATAGTTTTTCTGAGCTTATTTACATTTCAAGTTAAAGATCCGCCAACCGAAACGCATTGTTTTATTCATGCAAAGTAAAAACTTTTGTTTCACGTACAATGTATTAATTATATAGTTAATCGTTTACCTTAGCTTATGCTTGATTATTTATCTTAAATTGACAATTTTTAGTAAACAATTCGTGGTTTCTTAAAATTAAAAAAGAGTTTTTGCCATTACAAATGATTCTTCATAGCTAAAGGAAAACACAATTGTGCTATCAAGACAATGTGTCAGTTGTTACAAATTATTGCAAAACAAGTATATTTCAAATGTCTTATGTTGTATATTGAATTTTTGCAATTTCTTGATTTTAGTCATGTTGACATATCATGTTGAATTTGTGTACAAATGGAATCAAGAGGAACAAGAAATCTGTCTTACATTCAGCAAATAATCAATGTGGTACAAACGGAACTTGCTCGATTTTTCATCAAAGAATGGAACTCTCGTTACAAATCAACACATGGAGAATGGGATGGTACACACAACAGTGGCAATAAATTTTACAATTTAGAATCACGAAGAAAGTTAGACGAAAAAACACGACAAAAATATCAGGATGGAGACACCAGTAAGTGGGACTGTACGATATTATTTGATGCAATACTTTTTTCAAATTCAATTGGAAAGCATCTTGACAAAAAAACAAAGGATGCTGTTCATGCACTTCGTTGTGAAAGAAACAAATACGCACATTGGTATGAAAGGGAATGCTCAGATGATGATTTTGATGACATAGTCAATAACATTGAAAAATCATTTCAAGATTTGAAATTTTCTCTCGATGAAATCATTAAAAAAAAAAATCTTCGAAACTGTTTTAACTCGTTCCAAGTTCTTCCTTTAAAACCTAATCATTTTCTCGTTGAACGCACTGAACTACGAGATAAAGTTATAAAAGATCTTGAAAAATTAAGGAATGATAACAATGATAAACTGACATATTTTTACATCACTGGTAATCCTGGCAGTGGTAAATCACAACTTGCAAGACAGGTTTGTGAAAACATATCGTGTGATTGGAAAAATAGAACTTCGTTTGTAATGACTCTCGATGGAAAAAATGAGGAATCTCTTTTAAAAACTTACTGTGAACTTGGATATCGTTTAAACTGTGACAAGTACATGATTAAAACTTTTAAAGATGAAAGTTGTTCTATCACAGACAAAGTGAAGAATTTGCGATCGTTAGTATCCACACGATTAAAATTCTGGCAAAATTGGTTGATCATTGTAGACAACGTGGTACAGCTCAGCAAAATTTCTTCATTACTTCCCCAAGTTGGTGATCCCATGTGGATAAATGGACAAATTATAGTAACCATCCAGAACACAGATGCCGTACCTCAAGACGATGAGTTTAACAAAGATATTTCTATCAGAAGTGGAATGAATGATAAAGAATGTTGTCAACTGTTAAAAGGTTACACTAAAGATGAAAATGCTGATGGTCAATTGTTGAATGAAGTATCGCACGCATTAGATCGTCAACCGCTGGCTTTGGCTGCTGCTGGTTATTATGTCAGTCGTGTAAACAAAGCAAACTGCTCATTTACTTGGAGTCAATATTTAAACAAAATTTCTTCTTCAGAAGAAGAAAACATGGACGCCACTTTTGTTAAATTTAACTCGGTATATCCTAGAAGTATGTTACAAGCTTCACTTTTAGCTGTCAGACAAAATGCTGAAGAATCCTCAATATTGGCAAATGTTATTATTTTTTTTCCGTGATATCGTTTGATCCTATACCACGAGACATTATTATTTTTATGTTCAAAAATTGATCCCAAACACTCAAAGGAAGATATATGTCTTTGTTTAAAGGACTGCTCATTGTTCTTGCATTCAGAAAATAATGACATTAGTCTACATCGCATTGTTCACAAAGCAATTATTGTTTATCAATCTGAACATTCAAATGAAGAACATGAAATGGAAAGTAACGTTGATCAAATATCTAAAGCACTTTACATGTTTAAAGAGAGAGACGACGAAATCAAATTAATGCCACATCTTGAAAAAATTGTTCAATTATTAAAGACCAACAAGACAAAAATCAACATGAACACTTTACAAGTTTTCCAATATTTTGTTGACAGATTAAGACATTTTGGAAAATACGATCTTGCTCTTGAACTATTGGATAAATTTAAATCAGAAGAATCTAGTTATGACAAAGCTTGGTATTATAATATCCTCGGTGTTTTATACCATGACACCGGGAAATATAGCAAAGCTAAAAATCATCATGAAAAGGCTCTGGAAACTCGAAAACAATTGTTAGGTTTAAATCATGTTGATGTCGCTGCGTCTTTAAACAATCTTGGTGTGGTGTTTGAAAGAACTGGAAACTACCACAAAGCTATAGAGCTTCATGAAAAAGCTTTGGAAATTCGAAAACAATCGTTAGGTTTAAATCATGTTGATGTCGCTGCGTCTTTAAACAATCTTGGTGCGGTGTTTGATAAAACTGGAAACTACGACAAAGCTATAGAGTTTTACGACAAAGCTCTGGAAATTCGAAAACAATCGTTAGGTCTAAATCATGTTGATGTCGCTAGGTCTTTACACAATCTTGGTTTGGTGTTTTATAAAACTGGAAACTACGACAAAGCTATAGAGCTTTTCGAAAAAGCACTAGAAATTCAAAAACATTCGTTAGGTCCAAATCATGTTGATGTCGCTTCGTCTTTAAACAATCTTGCTATGGTGTTCTATGAAACTGGAAACTACGACAAAGCTAGAGAGTTTCACGAAAAAGCTATGGAAATTCAAAAACAATCGTTAGGTTCAAATCATGTTGATGTCGCTATGTCTTTAAACGATCTTGGTAATGTGTTTTATAAAACTGTAAATTACGACAAAGCTATAGTGTTTTACGAAAAAGCACTTGAAATTCGAAAACAATCGTTAGGTTCAAATCATGTTGATGTCGCTATGTCTTTAAACAATCTTGGTAATGTGTTTTATAAAACTGTAAATTACGACAAAGCTATAGAGTTTCACGAAAAAGCTCTGGAAATTCGAAAACAATCGTTAGGTCCAAATCATGTTGATGTCGCTGCGTCTTTAAACAATCTTGGTAATGTGTATAATGATACTGGAAACTACGACAAAGCTATAGAGTTTCATGAAAAAGCTCTGGAAATTAAAAAACAATCGTTAGGTCCAAACCATGTTGATGTCGCTACGTCTACAAACAATCTTGGTCATGTGTTTTATATCACTGGAAATTACGACAAAGCTATAGTGTTTTACGAAACAGCTCTGGAAATGCGAAAACAATCGTTAGGTCCAAATCATGTTGAGGTCGCTGCGTCTTTAAACAGTCTTGGTATTGTGTTTTATGAAACTGGAAACTACGACAAAGCTATAGAGCTTAACAAAAAAGCACTAGAAATTCAAAAACAATCGTTCGGTACAAATCATGTTGATGTCGCTACGTCTTTAAACAATCTTGGTTTGTGTTTTATGAAACTGGAAACTACGACAAAGCTATAGAGCTTTACGAAAAAGCACTGGAAATTCAAAAACAATTGTTAGGTCCAAATCATGTTGATGTCGCTCGGTTTTTAAACAATCTTGGTAATGTGTATAATGATACTGGAAACTACGACAAAGCTATAGAGCTTAACGAAAAAGCACTAGAAATTCAAAAACAATCGTTAGGTCCAAATCATGTTGATGTCGCTGCGTCTTTAAACAATCTTGGTAATGTGTATTTCAAAACTGGAAACTACGACAAAGCTATAGAGCTTTACGAAAAAGCTCTAGAAATTCGAAAACAATGGTTAGGTCCAAATCATGTTGATGTCGCTAGGTCTTTAAACAATCTAGGAATGGTGTTGATAAAACTGGAAACTACGACAAAGCTATAGAGCTTCACGAAAAAGCTCTGGAAATTGAAAACAATCGTTAGGTCCAAATCATGTTGATGTCGCTGGTCTTTAAACAATCTTGGTATTGTGTATTATAAAACTGGAAACTACGACAAAGCTATAGAGTTACACGAAAAAGCTCTGGAAATTCAAAAACAATCGTTAGGTCCAAATCATGTTCATGTGGCTGTGTCTTTAAACAGTCTTGGTATTGTGTATTCTAAAACTGGAAACTACGACAAAGCTATAGAGTTTCACGAAAAAGCTCTGGAAATTCAAAAACAATCGTTAGGTCCAAATCATGTTCATGTGGCTGTGTCTTTAAACAGTCTTGGTATTGTGTATTCTAAAACTGGAAACTACGACAAAGCTATAGAGTTACACGAAAAAGCTCTGGAAATTCAAAAACAATCGTCAGGTCCAAATCATGTTGATGTCGCTATGCCTTTAAACAATCTTGGTATTGTGTATTCTAAAACTGGAAACTACGACAAAGCTATAGAGTTACACGAAAAAGCTCTGGAAATTCAAAAACAATCGTTAGGTCCAAATCATGTTCATGTGGCTGTGTCTTTAAACAGTCTTGGTATTGTGTATTCTAAAACTGGAAACTACGACAAAGCTATAGAGTTACACGAAAAAGCTCTGGAAATTCGAAAACAATCGTTAGGTCCAAATCATGTTGATGTCGCTGGGTCTTTAAACAATCTTGGTATTGTGTATTCTAAAACTGGAAACTACGACAAAGCTATAGAGTTACACGAAAAAGCTCTGGAAATTCAAAAACAATCGTTAGGTCCAAATCATGTTCATGTGGCTGTGTCTTTAAACAATCTTGGTAATGTGCTTGAAAAAACTGGAAACTACGACAAAGCTATAGAGCTTCACGAAAAAGCTCTAGAAATTAAAAAAACAATCGTTAGGTCCAAATCATATTGATGTCGCCACGTCTTTAAACAATCTTGGAGTGGTGTTTGAAAAATCTGGAAACTACGACAAAGCTATAGAGTTTGAGGAAAAAGCTAAGGAAATTCACAAAAAAACGTCAGGAACTAGTCAGGTTGATGTCGCTAAGTCTTTTGAACAGTCTAGATGTGATGTATTATGAAACTCTAGATGGAATATGACAAAGCTTTACAATTACACTTTGGTAGCTATGTGTTTCAAAGAAAATTGTACCTTCCAAATTATGTTAAGCCTATTTTTAACACATAGACAGTAGGAGTAAGGCTTCCACCTGCCAAGTCAACTCCACTCTCCCTCAAAAGGTATTTTTGGTACTGAACAAAACGTTTGCACTTTGAATTTTATGAAATAAAATGAAAATGGTCCTATTCTATATATGTTTTCACTCTTATCTAGTCAATAAACTTACTCTACAGCCCAGGAATCATCGTAAGTAAAACTTAGAACTGCACATGCCCTGAATCTGACATTGTCCTTCAGACTTTATTTCTAGAGTAAATTGTTTTTATGTTATAATCAGGTAGTAATTTTTATTGTATGATTCACAAACATACTAAAGTATATTGGGATGACAGAATTTTATGACATAAATTATGTTAGATAAAAATTATCCAGTCATTTTCTAATTTTTTTCAATGCATTCAGTATATTTTTACTCAGCTCTATAAGCCTAAGACCATATTCCAGGTTCCTATAATTTCCAAGAGGTGCACCTTTCATACCATATATACCACCCCACCATGCTGCAGCCAATATTCCTGTACTGTCACTATCTCACCATGAAACATAGAACAAGAACACAATTGAAACCAGGAATCTTTTGCCATCATCAAAGCATCGTAAGCAATCATTGGTGCATCATGATCACTGGACCCACCCAAACCTGCATAACTGACAGATTTATAAAAAGCATCATGTTCAGGTATGTTATATGTCACTGGAAATTTGGTTCACTGGTTCTATTGGTTAATCCCGTAGTTCAAGATATGACTCCCAACTATTTTAAAGTAGCCCCAAGCTTTGTTTTCTTCTACATCTCGACCAACCTTCTCAATGTATTCCCAAACTTTGGGTAAAACACTTAAAAGTCCTGCTCCCCATTTTTTTGGAGGTATCTTCTGTATAGCATAGGCTGTAAATAAAGCTGCAGTAACAGCCCCAAGATAACCTATAATTAAAATCATTATCTTTAAAGATTGCTAATTTCAAGTTACTTACATTATGATGACCCTATTTACATAATAGCAGCATTTTGATATGGATCATGGATTCAATGTATAATAATAATGGACTCCGTCAATTTCGACGTATGAGGATTCCACGAAGTGAAACATCCTGGTTACTGAAATTATAGTGAAGGCAGCTGACCAGACTACAATCACTCGTACCCTCCACGCCACTACAACGCTGATATCAGCGTGACACAGTGTGACAAGGCTGCAACATTACAGATGCAGGTACAGTTCATCCGAGGACACAGTTTCCTCTACCAAATTTCCCTCACATGGCTTTGGTCAACCCGGGCTAGGTTTAAAGACACATTGCCAAATGTGCCACGAGCTGGGATTGAACCCACGCCTTCTGGCTAACAGCTCACGCCATTAACCATTCAGCCACTCGCCCCGCTTGCATTCAATGGCTGTAGTAGTGAAGATATAAAAGCAAGAACAGCAATGGCAATTCAAACAGTTTTTAGAAGACAGAAATTTGGAAATGTGGAAAAGCGATAAAAGGGATGGATCAAAGATATGGTCATTTAAAGTGAGCAATGTTAGAAGGATGGAGGCATTTGAGATGTGGTTCTAGAAAATGATGGATTGCATAGACTTATGCAAACCTAAGGTCAACCTTCTTTTATTTCATTTATAAATTGATATTAGATAAAAGGATATGAAACATTCATGGTAAGGGCTTGTTCAAGTAAGTAATCGAAGGAAGAGTTGAAGGTAAAACATCCAAGAAAAGCAAAAGGATTGAAAAGCTAAATTACTATAAAGGTTTGTTAAAATGAAAAGAAATGCAGATAACAGGAAAACCTAGCAAACTTTATACAAAGCTACACTTGTTGATAGAAAGAACACTAGACATTAGTGACTTGATAATTGATACATGATCTGAAATCGTTGCTTTATTATAAAAGGTGAATACCTGTGGGGTGATTATGCGTCATCCTTCCACTTTCAACAGCAAATTTCAATTAACATTTCAATTTGATCTTCACAAGGAAACATCAAACCTATACACATGGATCTCATAGCTACACCACATCCGCCACCTCGTTCATTAAATGGTATAATGTAACCTTTTTCCTCAAGAGGTTGTAACATGAAACATGCCTTTGTTGTGGTCTGCCCAGGAGCTCTTTCCCACATATCCTCAGCACATGTCTTCTTGTACTTTGTAGCCATAATGCACAATAACTCTTCCGTTGTTGTCCATTCAGAAACCAACGCTTCTGCTGTAGCAATGTGTAGTACAGTGTCGTCACTAACCCTCCATCCTTTAATGTCAATTTTATCAAGTCCTCCGAGTTTTTCTAGTTCTTCATGAATTTGAGTACCACTGTAACAGAATTCCCACAAACCATTCTTATAACCTAGAGCATCCCCACTCCACTGAGAACCATAATTCGACCGTATTTTCATAAGCCATTTTTAATGTTTACTTCAGGGTATTTTCATGAACGTTTAACATGGATTTTTGAAACGCGGAAAACACCAGGCTTACCTCAACTTATAAAAACAAAAATCTTTTCTTTGCTTTGTTTCAATATTGTTTCAAATTACTCTGTTTAGATTTAGACGAGAGCGTTCGGAGACTGGGAGGGTTATTTTGAAATCCTTAATCTTTACCCGATTCTATGATCTTCAATCTGATTAACATGTTGCTTGTTGCAAAGATACGTTAAGAGTTGAAAAAGCTTTTTTAGCGATAATATTGGAAAATATGGCGTTTGCATTGGTGAATTTTTACAACGAAAATACATGGATATTATTTCATATTCTAACATCAATTTTGAAGATGAAAATATGTCTAAAGACAAAGATGAACTTAAAGGATTCAAAACGTTAGTCATGTGGAGCGATGGAAAAACAAAAGGAAACGGCAAGTCGAGGGAATTTCCTGCAGAGATAATAGAGGTTTCAGGTTAGTATTTTTAGTCTGTTGTAGAATTTTTTGTAAAATTTCTAAAAACTTGTATAATTCAGCCAAAAAGCTAATTGCTAGTGCATCAAGCTCTTTCTCTTTGTTATCATTTCTTTCATGAAACATCTTAGCTTTGCTATATATCTGTAAATTTCTGTGTGAAAATCTATTTGTTTATTTCTCTGTCTTGTTTGTAGAAATAGTCATAGTTGATATGAAGGTTGCTGTTATCAATTCAACTTACTGCTTTTTTAGGAGGGAATTACTTTCTGATAAAAAGCCTTTGCTCAAATGTTGTTCTTTCTTCTACATAGCAATAGTTCAGTTACAATACTGACAATAAAGATGTGTCTATTTCCCAGATTTTAACTTGTTTCCTCTTAAATACATGTAGTAATACATTAGGCCAAACTTTGCATAAGGTTGTTTCCTTATAATTTCAGGCATGCTACTGCTTCCAATTGAAAATTATTATTTTTTTAATAGTTGTTAAATAGTCATCCATTATTTTGTGTAAACAGATAGTAAAGATTATTTGCTCAAGACAATGAGAGAAGAAGAAACTTTCTCTATAAATACTGGCAAAGGGTGTCGCAAAAGAATTCAAAAAGCAAAGTTTACAATTGAAAGTGTTAGTGAATCAGATGATGTGGTGAGTTGCTCGAAATATTACATTGACCACATTTTGTTTAAATGGTGTTTACTGCATGTTTCTCAATTATTGCTGCCATCATCTATAGTTAGCACTCATGTCACTAATGTGATGACGCATTCATGGAAATTTGTTAAGTACTCCATATGGTATTCATGATTCAAATGTTATTAGCTACTAATTCTATGTTTGAAGGTCTGCATTGCTGAACAAGGCTATGAGCCTAAGAATTTAAATGAGAAGTAGTACTGTAGCTAATAACAAACTTTTCAAACAACATGTATAAAATTTTGTATTGTTGTTCTTGTTACCAGCAGGAGCACAGTATTCCTAAAAAGCTAAAGGCATCCAGGGCAAAGAAAACAGAGGTTTGCCGCTCAGCCAGTCTTGCTTCACTTATAAAAGAGTGATTAACCAAGGTATGTACTATACACAATAATAACACTAATTATTCTTATCTCTAAATTATGCAATTTTATTTTTAATGAGGAATGCTAGGGAATTAAGTTCATTTTTCAGAATAAAATTTGGATGTTGTTTGGCTAATGCTAAAAAAGTTAATACTGTATGATATGTTCCTGTTAATCATAAAATGCTGTTAATTTGAAATTCATTTCTTGTTTCTAAGTGAAAAATCTTTTAAAATGCAAACATTGTACAGTGTAAGGCTTGTATAGGACAATCATACAAAAGAATTTTCAATCAGTGTGGCTTATGAAATTAAAAATATGAGATTTATCATTATAATATATTGTACTTGTTGTTAGTAAAGTACACCTTAATAGTTGGTACTAAAAGGAAAATATTGTTAAATATTGCCTAAGTTCTTGTTGATTATTTAGGAGAGTCAGTCAGATGAAGGTAGTGCACTTTGCAATGATAAATGCAAGTATAAAAAAGAAGCCTTGGAACTCAAAGAGAGGGTAAAAATGCTGGAAAATCAGATCAAAAGACTTAATGAGCAAATTGACAATGGCAATGGTGAGCTTGAGGAAAATTTACTTCATTTGTATTTTCAAATCAATGCTTTCTCTGCTTTTCAGTTCTGACTTCCAAAATGGAGAAATTTGTAAATTGCTTGTTCTATTCAGTATATTTTGAAATTTAGTATTTGGGTGAAAAACAACAACTTAATGTTACGTAGTGTCATCAACCTTTAGAAGCTTATGATATATCGTTTTTAATTTATAGATTTAGAACTTCATGTTTGCAAATGTAGATCGTCCAGGTTGGTATAGTCCTGAGAAGGACTGTTTTTGTTGTTGACTGACGACGTTTCGACAACCTTAGCGGTAGTCATCTTCAGAGTCAAATGAGGAGTAAACGTCAGGTTAGCCGTATTTGTTATCTGGTTCTTACGTCATTGTATTGTGTGTACAGGAAATGTGAAGTAGCGTATCAAAGAGACTTGTCAGAGACAACCAAAGACGAGATCAGAAGCAGGATAGCCTCCACTTTACAATCGTCCTCTATACGTGACAGCAACTTGACAAAGAACGAACAAAAAGCACTCAAACGACTAAAACACGACAACAACATCGTCATTTTACCAGCAGACAAAAGACGCGTGACTGTGGTCATGGACAGGAATGATTACTTCAACAAAATGGACACCCTTGTTAACGACAGACAAACGTACGAACAACTCAAACGAGACCCAACACCATCACTAGTACGCAAACTTAACAGCAAGATCTTCTCTATGAGAAAATCTAACATTATATCTGAACGTATTTACTATCGACTCAGATTTTCAGTACCACGACCACCCAGACTATACGGACTACCAGAACTTCACAAACCACAAATGCCCATGCGACCAATTGTATCATTCTGTGGTTCGCCCACTTACGAACTCTCAAAGTACTTGACTGACATACTGCAACCACTTACAAACAAATCAAAACAAGAGCTGCAATCCACTGAACCTTTCATTAAAAAACTGAGCACTATACAAATACCGGACAACTATATACTAGTGTCTTTTGATGTGAAATCACTGTTCACAAGTATTCCACTTAATCTGGCACTTACTTGTACAAAAATCCTCATTACAAACACCACGGACGTACTGCCTTTACCGACAGAAGACATGGAGCTACTGGAGCTCTCTAACACAAACAAGCTACTAAGAAAGAAGACAAAACTAATCACATTGCCGAACATCACCGAATCACAAAGCACAACATTGACTGGGACTCGGCAAAATGCATTACTTACAGTACTGACTATAGACAACGGCTTACATTAGAAAGTTGGTATACCAACTTGGAACAAACCCCCCTGAACAGATCACAGCAATTACCGGTACCTTACAAACGACTTATTCACAATGCAAACAAACGATTAACTAAAAACATTACACTTCACACTAATTCACAATGACAATACACATTTCCTGTACACACAATACAATGACGTAAGAACCAGATAACAAATACGGCTAACCTGACGTTTGCTACTCATTTGTCTCTGAAGTTGACTACCGCTAAGGTTGTCGAAACGTCGTCATTCAACAACAACAAAAACAGTCCTTCTCAGGACTATACCAACCTGGACGATCTACATTTACAAACATGTAACGATACTCCCGGAATTGTATCGTGGATTCATGTTTTATTGAATTCTGTATAAAATAATGTGTACTACTAGAACCTGTACAGGGAATTTGCTAAATTGTGTTTATGAAACCCTTAGTTAATGAACTACATTATATCATAGATTCATTGGAAAACTGTAGTTCACGGAAAACTATAGTTTTGAAAACTGTAGTGTTTGGGAACAAAATTATCAATTGTAAAACTATAGTTCTCCCAAAACTTTAGTTTCTATAACTAAAGTATCGCCAAAACTATAGTCCCGAAAACTATAGTTTATTCATACAACTATAGTTTTTGGAACTATAGTTTATTCATACAACTATAGTTTTTGGAACTATAGTTTTTGTTCCAAAATACTGCAGTTTTCAAAACTATAGTTTATTTTTGTAAGGGTTGAACCAACTTTTTGGAAGTACCTTTTTTAAAGCATATGTTGGCCATGGACAAAGAACTGATAAGTTTGATAATGGTTGTGAAAATGGTGATGTTGTAAATAATGATAGCGATGATGATGGTAATTCTGGGAATGTATTTTGTGGACAAGACGGAACAGTTAATGAAGGTGACGGACACCTTGTAACAGAAAACGCCGCGCCTAAGAAAATTGATAAAGAACACAGGAAGGGAAGAAGTAACAACAAAAGAAAAAGAAAGAGGCAAAGTCCAGTGACAGAAAAAGTGTGTCTTGTGCAAAGAAAAGAGGTAGTCATTTGACATCCTATAACAAATGTAAAGCCTTTCTTTGTCAAGAACCATCCTCCAAAGATAATGGAATGGTGGATTGGGTGTTGTGTGATGTTTGTCAACAATGGTACCATTGGGATTGCGTTGGCATTACGACGAAGCCGAAAGGAAAATTTGATTGCTGATGATATGTATCTTATTTTAAGTATGGGTAAATTATACATCCACTTTTTCTAAACTACGAACTGTTAGTCTGTTCATTTATGCGCATCACCGATTTATTTGCATACGTATTCATAGTAGTTATTAATACGTTCCTCGTGCTCTTAAATGTTTTATTTCTAAAATGTGAGTTTCTTGAACACACACGAATAAATATATTTCATTTCTTTTAATTTTTCTTTGACAGATCTGCGAAAACATTTGACATAAATATGAAGGGAAATCGCTCATTCAGAGGATTAAAGGTTCTGCTAGAATTTAAATTATTTAATATCAGTGCAGATAAACATACCTATAATATTTTACCATTGAATTTTAGACACACGTCAACGGTGCCATACTCAGTAAACGCCACAGGTTACTTAAGCAAATGATCCGTGGGCGAAATCAAGCTCAGACTGAACTCACCGATCTCTAAATGACGTGTCCTTTAACTCGAACTCAAGTATAAAAACACATTCTCTGTTAGAAATGGAGCCCCACTAGTGTCTTAACTCGTCATTTTTGTATATATAGGCAAACGATCTGTTGAATGTAATGTAGTCAAAGAAATAATCGCAGATATTTTTCGATCCTTTGATGAAACAAATTCAATGAATATCAACTACATGTATAACGTTCTATTCCCTGAGGTTTTTTGTTTATCTAACGCCAAATTCCAAGACGTTTTTTTGTTGTGAGAGCTATGTGACAGTGAAACTATGATATTTTATATAGGCCTGCATATATTGTATACGAAAAACTGAGCGTTGTCTCCGAAATAACGCTGAAAAAATTTATAATTGTGCGAGTGGAGTTCAAGACGGTGCAGACTCTGAAAGTGGCTAACCTTGTTGTCTACCGAAGTACCTGAAAGCTGTAGTGGATCTTGTAAAAATTTGAGGTGACTTGACAATGTATCATACTGATTTACTCTTATGACTTAATGTCGTCTAAACATACTATTGACGATGAACTAGCGCTGTTTTTAGTTTAGGTTTACTGAATAAGATTTTCTTTTTTAGCTAAGTTCTATTACTTTATCAAAAAATAATGAATTCTTGTACAGGAAACAATTATACTTCAATTTTGTCTATAGTTAAAATAAAAGATGCTTTTAGTTACAACTACAAGACGTAGAAAAGAAATATGTCAAACAGAGTCAAGTTAACGATTAATTGAACTGGTGACTAAGTTAGGCCAATTTATAGATTTATTTCATATCAAAGTTAGCTATGAATCAAAATAGTTACCTCAAAAACACAAGTAAATCTTTTCACCACCATGCAACGCTATAAACTACATTAGCTATTTAGCTAACACAACAGTTGTTACATATGTGTTTTGATGGACAAAAAATATTTTTTCAAAAACCCCCACTTTTTCATCACTATTATCCAGAGTACGTACGTTGGGCGGCTATTATCCACGAATATATAACATCAATTTTCACCATATACCACATTGTATAACTACCAAAAAATTACATATGACTGTTCAAAAAGTATTTATTCAACAAAAAGCTTTTTTCAACACCTTTATTATCCAGCGTACGTACGTTGGGCGGCTATTACCCATGTATATAAAACATCAATTTTCATCATATACTACATTGTATAACTACCAAAAAATTACATATGACTGTTCAACAAGTATTTATTCAACAATAATTGATATTTAGCTGTTTCTTATTTGACTTTTTTTATTTTCTATTAACTAGTTCTGTAAGATTTTTTACATAAATAGGAGACCCTCGATATAGGGCCAACCTCTGGGTTTCCTTTTTCTTAATAATTATGTTTTTACATGTTGTTCTGAAATAAAGTATTGTCAAATAAACTTTTTTAAAAGGATTTATAAGCGTACGTACGTTGGGCGGCTATTACACATGACTTCTTAACAACTTTTCAAGTACCCTTTACGTAAATTGATTTTATAATTAAAGGATTTTCAAGAGCTTGAAGTGCCTGCACAAACCTGTTATACATCATCGCTGGCGCTTTCTTTGTCGTCTTCACTTGTTTGATCGTCTTCAGAATCCACTTCTTCATATACAACCACTTCTTGACACCAGATCACTTTGAAGCATGTCAACATTCCCATGAAATAAATACTGTGGTTTGTCTTTGTTGATGTACAAAGAAAACCCCTTTTTTTAGATCTATTATCATGCTTTCAATTTGAAAGACCTTCCTGTGTAAAAATATCGCTTTACCATATTGAACATCAAATACGTTTTCATGATTAATATAACTATTCAAAAAATCAGTAATCTTGCCGTGCTGCTGAAAGTAGTGACTCCACGTATTTTCCATTTCTGACTTCAACAGGATTTGCTCTTTCTTGGATCGGTCAAGCAAATGGCATAAATCTATAGCCTTCCGTTTAACAGTAAATGGAACTGAACAATCTTCATCAGTAGGTGCAGCTAGATATTCACACCAAAAATCATTGTCGGGATCTTTAACAGCATCAAATGTTAATGCGGTATGTGAATGATTAGATTGTGAATCTTTTGCCTCGTTATAAGCTGCGATATCTTTATTGACATCCTTTGTTACTCGAGTAATTTGCTTCGAAAGTCTGGATGCCAACGCTTGACCATGTGAAAAACAGAACAAACATACAGAGAACATTACAAAGAAGGGAACATATAAAGTAATTTACAAGCATTGCAAGTGGTATGGAACATTTATGAGATACCTATAGTTACCACAGTATTTAGACTTAAGATTTAGGAGAAACCATCTTTAAACAACATTTTTCCTCATTCGAGACAAAACACGTTTTTCTTTCCTAGACCCAACCTTGCGTTTTGCATTTTCGTACTCTGAGTCAGTATTTTGCCAGTGTGCAGAAATTGAGTTTTCCCTTTCCATGATCTTCAACTGCTCGTCATTCTAAACAGTAAATACCAAATCATTACAAATATTAGGCACGGTCAGACAAGCACCTGCAAGTTGCATATACATCTCTACTTGTACGTACGTATAAAAACAAGAAATAATTTTTTGTTCGATATTCCAACTTATTATTCACAATGTTACGACGTACATTCATAGCTTCAAAATTTCCCAGTTCATTTTTCTAAATTCACACTGTTTAAGACTTTAATATCTCTAGAAACAAGTTGAACTTTTCGAACATACTTTTTCATCTGATTAAATCGAACAGTCAGTTCACTTGGATCAGTGCAACCATTCCATCGATGGTAAAGATCAGTGTACAAGTCCAGGTATATAACGTACTTGCATTTCCAATCTTCTTCTGTAAGTTGTAAAAAAAGTTTCCTGTGCGTAAAACATTTCCACATAATCAGCATCAATAATTATGTGTCAAATCTGTTCCTTAGCTACAAGCCGTTATTTCTGAATTACTAACCAGTCTCAATTTCACGACCAAAAAAGTCGATTCGTCCTTCTTCCACTCACGAATATCATCTATTGAAATCCTGTGAGCTTTAGATAATGAAAAAAAGAAAATCTACTGCTTTCATGTGAGTCGTAAATATTTCATATCCAAAATCGGAATCAAATATAATCACACAGCAAATACAAACATATACTCACACGGAAAACACCAGCATAACTTTTCAATATCTAATTTTGCAGTTTCTTTCACGTCAACAGCTCGCTTCATCCTTGCCATCAGCAAATTGCCACAAAAAGCAAAATTTAATTCATACCTGCTATTACATAATATGATGACATGTTAGCTGTGTATATTTTCAAACAAAGAAAGAAAAACTAGCTATACCTAAATTAATCTTCGTTTTCTTTCCATAATGTAAAAGAGCATAACTGAGGACATCAACTCTGTGACTTGGACGTATTTCTTTAGTCATTCTGCTAAATTTGCGAATGTAAGCCCACAATCTCTCCAACATCTCACCGTCAGTTAGGCCAAATCCTTCTTTACGACGGGGACTAAATTTAACCTTTTACAAGAAAGATTTAGTAAACAATTATTGAATTTTCATCATTTATCATCTACAATACCAATAGTTATGATAGCATAAAAACCCAGGTATCACCATCTGTTTATACGTATGAAAAATAAAAACAATAACAACTAACTTGGCATCGTCCAACATAGCCATAGCAGTGAAAAATTGGAATTGAAAATTGAAAAATGTTAACAATCGGATAGTCCAAATTCTTTTTGTAAAAAACAAAACAAAGAAAAACATGTGAAAGACTACCTTTTCAAAGAAAAAAAGTGTTGAGGGAAAGTTATTGACTAAGGAAACAGGTAACAAAGCAACTATTGTCAATTGAATATTACCTGTAAGTGTTTCACCAACATGCATGCAACATCATACAATATGTTTATTTTGAGTGAAGGATTATCAGCATTATCTTTCTCTAATTTTTGGAGAACATAAACTGCATAGCTCAACCTATAAAATATGTAGAATATTTTTTTAAATAATGCAACCACATGTATGCAAAAAGCTTCAGCACTTGCACAAAGCATTGAAAGTAGCAAACCAACTGAAAAAAATAAATTTACACCATCAAATGCATGCATCCTAACCACCTCTTTCAAACCAAGAACATTTAGGTAAAATAGACAAAAATGTGTGTAACAGACCTATCTCCATGTTTCAAATTTAAGAATTTTTTAGGAAATTCATGTCAACAGTCTCGTCCAAAGATTGCTGTTTCATCAAGAGCTTTGTAGTGACTCATTGATCAAACAGCATTCCCAGCAAGAAAACCATGACATTCTTATAAATATCAATATGCAACAAACAAAAAAGTATACAATAGTTTTATTTCCTAAAGCCCATGGCAAAAATTTATTGAAAATAAAAACTATGTGGTAGAAAATGGAAAAAAAATCAAATATTCAATAAAATAATGAAGGATAAAATCATGCAATGTATTTGAGTTCAATGATGCTATCAAAAAGGTGTTTGAGATAGCATTGCTAATGTTCTTTTTCCTAATTTTTCTTGTTAAACAAGTAATACGAATATACTCACTTTGGTACAAGCAGGACAGATATTTCCTTCATCAAGCTCAGGAATAACACAGCTCAACATGTTTAGTTTATGTGTGTAAATTCTGAAAAAAACAATGACACAAAGAAAGCAATTATGCACTCTTAAACAAATGACATAAACAAAGTACAGTGCAATATAATAATACTTGAGGAAAAATCCTTTCCCATCATAAACTTTAGCATTTTGATTTTCTCCAATTAAATACATCTCTTAAGATGAGATTCTTAGGCTATAAAACTTTCTACTAGACTACTGCAACTCTTAGACTACTGCAACTTTCCCAGCAATTCATACCTAGTACAGCAGTGTAATAAATCAGTGAACTACATGCAGTTACCTATATTCTTCAAAAGCATCTATAATGACAGGATACCTTTTTGGTGTTGCATAAGAAGGGAATATGTGGTTATGATTGGAACACAATAACTTTGTTCTTGTTCCAATACCATGATATTTCAATGTCGATCAGAACATTAAAGCGAAGGCTTCAGTCATACGGCTTGCAAAAAGTGGACCAAGCTGTCTCAGAAGACACCGTTCGGCAAATCATTGAGAACGAAATTAAGGGATCATCATCGACTCTTGGTTACAGGGGTATGTGGAATAAGTTAAGAACAAGTTACAATATAACAGTTCCTCGAGACACAGTTATGAGAATCCTAAAAGACGTCGACCCAGAAGCATCGGCACTCCGTAAAGCTAGAAAGTTGCTTCCGCGAACTTACGTATCTGATGGACCAAATGCAACCTGGCATGTAGATGGATACGATAATCTGAAGCCCTACGGTTTACCAATTCACGGTTGTGTTGAAGGGTTTTCTTGACGAATAATATGGCTAAAAGTTTGCAAAAACAATAACAATCCAGTTATTCCAGCTAATTTTTTTACGGTCAGTGGAGGAATTTAAGTTTCGCTCCATCCTAGTACAGACAGATTGAGGAACAGAGAATACTATTTTTGCAGCGATACAATGTAGCCTTGTTGGTGGTGAGCAAGGGCATCGTTATTCATCATCTCATGCTAATCAATGGATTGAGAACTGGTGGTCTCACTGTAGAAGAGGATTTTCTGGATGGGTTATCAATCATTTTAAACATCTTGTTCATAAAGCAAAGCTTGCATTGGGAAATCACTTGCAGATGGAATGTATTTGGTTTGTTTATTCAGAGTTTTTACAGTCAAAACGTAACAAGGTAAAGCAACAATGGAACACACATTTCATACAGCATTCCAGAGACAACTTGATTTCGGGTGTACCTGATGATCTTTTTTTTCTTCCTGAAAGCACTGGACATAGGAACTACACAATCACTGTTTCTGATAACAATGTTTGTGGTATATTGAACTCGAGAGACGTATACACAGAATCAGAATTTGCAATGGATGAAAATGATATAGAATTGATGGATTACTTCAGGTATGTCGTCAGAGAAGAATACTTAGAACATCTACCCTGTGATTAAAATCATGACAAAAATATGTATTTAATGATAATACAGGTAGCAAATGCCTGATTTGGCATTGTGTGAAATACAGTAATCTTTGCTTTGCTTTAATAAAACTTTATATGTAAATGTAGTCATCTCATCTTAACACAACTTCTCATTAGAAGTGGCTTTCGGATGTTTTTTCCAAGAGGTTCTTTTGTATAAACTTAAAAATCAAATTTTATGTAATAAACTCTGCAAAACGAATTTATCTATTGCTGAGCTGCAATTTAATTTTATGAAAAACTTCTCAAAGCACACTTCAAGCACAACTTATCAAACATTGTTGGTTCTTCCAAATCAGTCAAATAACCAGACATACTGTAATAAAGATATGTGAGCATAGCAGTAGAAAAAACACCCAGTTAACGACATTAAGTAACATAAAAAACTATGATTAACTTATCTGCCTTGTTTCATTACAAAGTAGGGTGTCTTTTTGTTTAACATAATGTCTGTTAACATCTAACAAATTCTATTGAGGAGGAATAGTACAAGCACCAACAGAGAATGTGGTGGATTCTCAGTGAAATTGTAGAAGGATTAGTTCACGTTCATTCACAGGTAGGGAAAAATGTTAACAATTTTCATTTAGCTTAATAGATATGTATAAGGACTTATTATTTGCAATTTTTATCAAATTTTTGCCAATAGGGTATTATGATTCAAGTAAACGCGTTTGAACATTTTTGGGTTTTTTTTTTGTTACATTTTTTAGGTGTTTTCTTTAGAAAGTCAACTAATGTCGAGGAAAAGAGTTTGGTCTTTGGATACATTGAAAAGCTCGTTTTGGACCTGTAAGTTCCTTTTCATTGAATAGCAGTGTCAAAAAGAAAGTTTTATCCTTCTCGAAATATGTATTTGTTAATATAATGATAGGCATGCTTGAAAACTGCCACTCAAGGCTTCCACTTGAAAATATGAAGATCGTAAGAAAAAACAAGCATTAAAGTGACGCAGAATTTATAGCTACTGTTTTTTAATGTCATATACTTTGTATAGATGTCTATATCCGGAGAGCCTTAACCAATGCTTAGCACAGCAGCTTCTTGGACATCGTTTTATCTCTCCAAATCCCATGTCATACGGTTTAGCAAATAACATCACTTCAAATAAGCTTGACGCTGAAAAAGATCAAGGGAGAAATCAAAATAGCTGTTATGATGGAGATGAGTATCCTTATTTGATGCCTATTCCTTTCGGCTACGCTGCGAGAAATTCAAGAGTTCGAAATGAATTTGAGGTGTTGCAAATGCTTAAAAAAAGGAGGGTTTGCTTCCGTTGTCAAGGTAACTTTTTATTACATACAACATCGTTTAAATAGATGGTAATTTGGTCATGTGAAGGAAATTTTGTACGTGATTTGAAAATGCTTTATATACGCTTAGGTACGTAATGAATTGGACGGCTGTCTCTATGCGATCAAAAGAATTGCTTTGATTCCGAAAAGTGTGCTGTTTAATCGCAAAATTCCTCGAGGAGAGAAGTTACTTCCTAGATTGAATCATGAAAATATTATAAGGTAAAAAAAAGTTTAGTATCCAAAATGATTCGAAATTTTATAACATAATGGTTCAAAGCGAGGCTCAATTTAGACGATACAAATTGCTTGGCTTATTAAATGTTATCTTTGTAGACACTATTATAACAAAGTACATAATCCCTTTTTTCCGTGAAGCCCATGGATGCGTTCGTTCATGATGAAAGAGTCATATTGTATAAGGAGGCTCTCGTTCATCACGAGAGAGTTATGAGAAAGTTACATTGCAAAAGGTAATGAGTAAAAAACGTATAAACATGCTTAGAGTTGGTTTAAATTATAAGTGAAAAAGGCAGAAGTTGTTTGAACATGTGCAGTATCCTTGGATGTTCTAGTTTCTTTTATGAGAAGAGTTCTTGTAAAGAAAAAAAGACAAATTTTGGAAACAAAAAATCCCGTTTTCGGTCCATGTTTCCGGAGACCCCGAGATAGTTTAGCACTAGAGCGTCTCATATTAATTAAGGAAACCAGATAATTCTGTCTGCTACAAAGTCGATGGATGGTTTGCTTGTGATACTTAAGAAACAGTAAATGAGAGAGTTAAATCAGAAAATATAAACCAATAAAAATTTTATGAAACATGTTTAATGTTGTCTTAAATTATAAGTGTCAGAAAAAGGCACAGTGTCAACATTGCTTGGTTTATTTTATGAGAAGAACTCTTGTTAAAAGAAGAAAAAGATAAAATTCGAAAGCAAAAAACCCCGTTTTCGGTCCATGCTTCCCGATACCCTTAAGCGTAAGGTACTAGAACGCCGCATGTTAACGTTTCGGTTGGAGGTTTCGGCCCCTCCACACTATCCTACTTGGGGATGCCATACGTAGCAAGCTTCCGCCCATCAGACCCCGAGATCGCCTGCGATAGGCTTTGCTCTGGTTACGCAGGGAGAGTGCGGTCGCGACCGAAGTCTGGGCCCCTAAGCCACTGCATACCTAATTGCACCCAACTTCCACTGCTAGTTGACATCTACTAGTTGAAGTTTCAGCTTTATATATATATACAAAAATTCAAAGGTTTGCAAAAGTTGTGGCATCATTAAAGTCACTACTGCGCATGCCCAGATTATTTCTTTCATAATTTGCGACTAAGTTATCTAATTGCCGCAAATGTAGTGCAAGTACATATAGTTAGTCATTGCCATGGCTATGAACAATTAGTCGAATGGACTACGCATGCTAGAGCGCATGCCCAGATGATTTCCATATTAAATTGTTACTAAGCATGCTGTTTACTTAAAAATCGGTGCTAGTAGATGCAGTTGGTCGTTGCTATGACCATGAACTTGGACAACTGGTCAAGTGGACTGCGCATGCGCAGAAAATTTTTCAGTAAATAAAGCTCTTAACTACTTTTTCACTACACTTTTTGCAGTTAAAAAGTAGTTAAATTTAACCCCGCGGTTAAGTCGGTTGTATAAAAAAGTAGTTAGTGCTAAATGCAGTTAAAAGGTAGTTAAAGTGGAGCATAGTTAACTTTTCAAAACACAGTTAAATATGGCGGCTTACCTTCTCAAAGACAATTATGGGCGAGATGTTGTTGATCAACAAGGTTTTACGTTGAGTTTTT